GTAGGGGTAAATGGTTGCCAAAGGGTCGAAGTATTCTGGATTTGTGCTGAAGATAATGGGGTCAGGATCAGGGTTGAGGTTGCAGTTGACATCACTGTCAATAATGACAATAAACCGAGGGTCACCAGGGAGGCTGAGTGGCTCAGGGCAGTGGTCAGGGAGTATCAAAGGTTTGTGGACTGGGGTAGGATGGTGGTTGGTCTTCTTGTATCAGGGAGGAGCAGTGTCATCTGGTGGTGGAGGGAACAGGTAGAGACTGGGCGGAAGTCCTGCATATGACATGGCAGGACATCATTGAAAGCAAAGGCAAGAGAGTGGTTGCCCCATAGCAGAAAAGAAATGGGAGTAGTCAACCTGTGATGTGTGGACTTGTTGTGCCTTGTGCCGATCATGGGGGCTCCGTGTGTCCTTATGCAGAGTTCCACACCTTGGTGTTCTCCTGTCAACAGTGTACATATGTGTATTGTTGCCGAATATCATGGGTGTCATTGCACAATCCTGTTGCACCTGGTCATCAATCCAGTCTAGAAGTGCAATCTGGGACACTCTGTACCTCTTATCAGTTGATCGGAACTTTGGCTAATTCTTTCAGGGGCCACTGCGAAGCTGTCTGAATTTAGGCTTTTTTGAAATTCACTGTCAGAGTACGCGCTGGAGCTCCTAGGAGCGGCGCAGATCCCCCGGGACAGCGGTGGAGACGCTGTCGCACAAGGCAGGGAAGCAACTGAGAATATATACAAAGATACGAGACGAATACACATACCTGTCGCACAAGGCAGGGAAGCAACTGAGAGAACAAGTCTGAGTTGCTCCCTGGTGCGACAGGTGACTATATAGTAGCTGAGTAATCCATCAGCAACATGAGGGATGGTCCAATGAGAGAGAGGGAGGCTCCTCGGGTGCCCAGCACGTGACCAGTGGAACGGCCTAGGAAGGCCGCGCAAGGTGCGGAGGCCCTAGGAGACCCAAAAGGATAGAAGAATGTATGGAGCTCCTAGGAGGCCCGAAAGAATAGAAGGAGTGTCTGGGAGCTCCTAGGAAACCTGAAAGGGTAAAAAGAGTGTGTGGGGAATGCGGGGAAACAGGGAAAGACGAGTACTGGAGGTGTGCCATGACATCACCCCCCCTTTAAGGGCCCAGCATCCCGATGGGCAAGGAATCTTCATGAGCGTCTGGTGGCGTAGTGTAATGGAAGAGGGGTTGGAAGCGGAGCCCTCGGAACGTGAGGGCAGAGATATGGCGTGGCGCATTTGGGTGCCGGCGGTAGAAATCGCGGATACTGACTGGAGAGACGTTCTCCTCGGGCTCCCAAGTGTCTTCGTTAGCTGAATAGCCCTCCCAGCGGACAAGGTACTGCAGCTTTCCTCGGGAGATCCGGGAGGCTACGAGACGATCAACAGTCCACTCCTCGACTCCATCGCGGACAACCGCGGGCGGCGGACGGTGGTGCCAGGGCCTTCCAGGAATGGTGTCCTCCACATAGCGGTGAAGCTTCCAGACGTGGAAGACGGGATGGATCTTCCAGGAGTCCGGGAGCGTCAGGCAGTATGCATTGCGGTTAATCACCTTGTTGACAGTGAAGGGGCCATACCACCGGTCGTCCAACTTCTTCGCAGGGCGCTGAGTACGGATATCCTTGCCATGCAGCCATACCTTATCGCCCACGTGGAAGTCCGAGGAGGCTCCGTGATGCATGTTGTAGTGCCTTGCCATGTCCTCCGCGGCTTGCCGCAAGGCAGCACCCGCTTCCTCCTCGGCGTGCTTCATGCGTTCTGCAAACTCGGTAGCTCCCTCTGCGTGTGGAACCCTCCGAGGCTCCACGCCCATCCGGGGGTGGGACCCATAGTCCATGAAGAAGGGTGTCTGACGAGTCGAGGAGTGAATGCAGTTGTTGTAGGCGAACTCGGTGATGGGGAGCCACTCTTCCCAGTCGTCCTGGAGGTGATTGACGTACAGCTGAAGGAACTGTTTGATCTCCTGGTTAATGCGCTCGGTCTGGCCGTCGGATTGAGGGTGGTAAGCTGTGGAAGCCGCTACGGAGATCCCGAGCATTCCGCTCAACTCGCGCATGAGGTGCGACACGAATTGCGAGCCGCGGTCACTGATCATGACCTCTGGAAGTCCGTGGTGCTTCCAGACCTGATCTCGGAAGAGCCGAGCAACTCCCAGGGAAGTCACCTCTGACGTGGTGGAGGCGAAATGGGTGCGTTTACCCTTGCAGTCGACGGCAACGAAGATCGCGTCCTTCCCATTTAAGACCGGAAGCTCCATGATGAGGTCGACTGTGACAACTTGCCATCGTCGCTCAGGCACAGCATTTGGGAGTAGGTGGCCTGCGGGAGCTCCGGGGAACGTCTTGGTGCGGTTGCACGCGTCGCAGCCCTTGACGTACCGGTCGACGTACCGGCTAATCCCTGGCCACCAGTAGTTCCTGGAGACAAGTTCGAGGGTTTTCCAACGTCCCGGGTGCCCTGCCACAGGAACGTCGTGGTGAAGCTCTACCACCCTCCTTCGAAGTTCCTCGTCCCGAGGGACAGACGTGGCCGCGGTAGAGTACCAGGTCCTCCTCAAACTGCCAGTCAGGTGCATGATCGATGCTCCAGGAGACTCCGTGAGGCTTCGCCATGGCAGCCTCAACCTCCTTGTCCAGCTCCTTGGCGTTACGAATGCGCCGGAGGATGTCGGCATCATCGGTGTCGATGGGGACCGCCGCAGGGTGGAGCACTCGGATGAAGATCTCAGGATGTAGGACAACGACGTCCCGGTTGTCCTCGGCTCCTTTGGAGTGGTCCACCCGGCGTGACAACGAGTCGGGATGTCCAGAAAGACGTCCTGGATGGTGGTGGAGCGTGAAGTCGAAGCGGGAGAGGAAGAGGGACCAGCGCGCCTGCCGACGATTCAAAGACTTTGTCATCTGGAAGTACTCGAGGTTCTTGTGATCTGTCAAGATCTCGAACGGCTCCCAGGAGCCCTCAAGGAAGTGCCGCCATTCCTCGAGAGCCCGGATGATGGTGAGGAGCTCCTTGTCGTGGACGTCGTAGTTGCGCTCGGGAGGGGAGAGGCCCTTGGACATGTAGGCGATGGGGTGGAGGATCCCGTCGTCTCCCATCTGCGAGAGGATGGCCCCGGTGGCAAAGTTCGAAGCATCCGTCTCAAGGTGAAACTTGCGGTCGTCCCTCGGAGCTACCAGGACCAGTGCGGAGGTGAGTGCCTTCTTCAGGTCTAAAAAGGCATTATGCTCCTTGGGGCTCCACACCCACGGAGCGTCCTTCTTGGTGAGCGCGTGGAGGGGTCTGGCAATATGAGAGAAGTCTCGGATGAAACACCGGTAGAAGTTGCAGAAGCCGACGAAGGACTGCACTTCCTTGACGTTCCGCGGTTCAGGCCACTCGGAGACTCCTCGGACCTTGACAGGGTCCATCCCAACATGCCCATGGGTGATCACCAGTCCTAGGTACTCCACCATCGTCCTCTTGAACTCACACTTCTTGGCCTTCAGGTACAGCTTGTGCCTCCGTAGCACCTCCAGCACTCGTCGCACAGCGTCCCGATGCTCCTGGAGCGTCTCCGTAAAGATGAGGATGTCGTCCAGGTAAACCACGACCAGGCCCTCGTCGATGAGGTCCCAGAGGATGTCGTTCATCACGGTCTGGAAAGTCGAGGGGCTGTTGCAGAGGCCGAAGAACATCACCAGAGGTTTGAAGAGGCCCCGATTCGTCCGAAACGCTGCCTTCCACTCGTCTCCCTCCTTGATCCTGACGTTGTTGAAGCCCCAGCGGACGTCGAGCTTGGTGAAGTATTTCGCTCGACGTAGCTTTGTGATCAGCTCGGAGATAAGCGGGAGGGGGTAGGCATTCTTGACCGTCATGGCGTTGAGCCTCCGATAGTCCTGGACCAGCCGCAGCGAACCGTCCTTCTTTTTGACGAAGACCGGCGAGGCCATGGGAGACTTCGAGGGGCAGATCCTCCCGGAGTCAAGGTTCTCCTGGAGGAAGGCATCCAGCTCCCGCTGTTCCACCAGCGAGAGAGGGTAGACCTTGCTTCCTCGGGGCTCCGAGCCAGGCTTCAGCTCGATCGCATGGTCCCAAGGCTTCCTCGACGGGAGCTCGTCGAAGGCTTCCTTGGAGAACACGTCTCGAAAGGCGCGATAGTGCTCTGGGACGCAGTCTTCGAAGGTACGTGGGAGCTCCGAGGAATGCGCCTCTTCTGCTAGGCGAGAGGAGATGGTGGCAGTCGCGCGAATCTCGTGACACCTGAAGTCTTCTTCAGTGGGTAGCATCACCACGAAGACCCGGTCGGAGCGTTCAGGGACGAAGTCGTCAGCCGGCGGAGGTTCCTCGGAATGCTCCTCGTCCAGGGCATCTTCGACGGTGGGGCGCGGCAGAGGGGTGCGGGGCTCCTCGGACACGTCAGATGGGGTCTCCTCGAGATGGAAACGCACCCGCCACTTCCACTCGCGGTACTTGGTGTTCTTCCTTCGGGTACTGCACTCTGGTGGGCACCGGGACATCTCCATTTCCCCCGTGTGCCAGTCCACCTCAGGATTGTGATGGTGGAGCCAGGTGTGCCCTACAATGACGGTAGGATGCCCGAGGGAGCATACGGCAAGGGTGACGTGTTCCGAGTGATCGCCATAATGCATGATCACATCCACAGTCTCACGGATCCCCCCGGAGTGGTTGAGGGTACCGTCGACGTTGTAGACGGGGACTGCGCGAGGGAGCGGCTTGGTGGTGAGGCGATGGCGAAGCACCAGATCATTGTCGATGAAACACCCAGTGGCGCCGCTGTCGAGGAGGGCTTGGACCACGAACTTATGACCTGAGTCCGTGGCCTGAAGCTGGAGGGGGAGCTCGGTGCTCCGGGAGCGTCCAGATACACCAGCGAGGACATAAACAAAGGGAGGAGGTTCCGAGGATTGCGCAACTTGCTGTACTTGAGGCGATATATGGTGAATCGGCTCGGGGGCCGGCATATTGATTTCAGGCAGTACAGCGAATCTATTGGTCGTTTGCAGCGCACTTGCAGATGACCCTACACAAATCCTCCTCTTGGTCCTCAGCCTCTTGCGCTCCTAGGGGCTCCGCCTCCTTGTCGGCAGAGAACATCCAGATCTCCCCGATCAGGTCCATCTGCTCCAGGACGTCCTCGGGGAGTCCGACGGCGCGGATCTGAGCGCGTTGGGGGCATTCACGAGCCAGATGTCCAGGCTGGCGGCAGATATAGCAAACACGCTGGCCTCCTCGACGTGTGGCGTCAACGTCCATAGGAACACCCAGCGGCAAGGGCGGAGGTCCTGGAGGAGGTGCAAAGCGTGGGGCGGCAGGTGCGATGGGGGCCGCGACTTGCGGGCGAGTGGCGGTGAGTGGGGGAGCATAGGTGGGAAGCGTTGGCTGGCGAGGCGGGGCCGTAGGAGCTCCTGCCAGCTGGAAAGGGCATAGGCGGGGTGCCTCAGCCTTCCGCGCGGCGCTGGCTTCCCTCAGGCAGCGATCCATACGAGTGACCGCGGCCTTCCACTCAGGGAGGGTGTCCGGCCCGAGTGGCGTGGACTCCAGGGCGATCCAGAAGTGAGTGGGGATCGCCTGCTTGAAAGTGGCAAGGAGAGAGACGTCCTTGCTGACTCCGGCCTCCTCGGCGAGATTCTTGAACTGGCGTATGAAGTCTTCGGCGACTGAAGAGCCCATGTGGAGCGTGCGGAGCTTGTTGAAAGCCATAGCGGCGGGATTGGGGTCTTCGAAGGCCGCGCGGAAATGGCATTCAAAGTGGGCCCAAGACGCAAGGTAGTCCGGAGCCTCCTCGGGTTCCCTAACGCCCGTCTGGAGGTCACGGAGGATCTTGGAGATATTATCGGCCCAGGTACCGGCCGTCCCACCGTGACAGTACGAGAGTAGGAACTGGATGCGTTGGATGGGGTCGACGCAGCGGCTGTGGTTGAGATAGTCGTTCACAGACCGTAGGAAGGTCCAGGCCGTAGACCGTGTACCGTCGAAGGAGTCAGGGCGACGGAACTTGATAGTGGCGTTGACGCGCTCCTGGTGGAGATACCCTTCCATGGCAACAATGCGTGCGAGGAGCTCCGGCACGGTTGGCGGCTGTGGGGGGGCCTCCTCGGCTTGTACAGGTTGATTCTGCGGTGCCGGAGGCACTGCGGGGGGTGGATCTTCATCCATGCTGAGAGGGGAGAGTCGGGGGAAACCAGGACGAAGGCGGTGTGATGGTATAGGTTTGCTAGAGGTTGCTTCTGGCGGCCGGCGGAACGGCGAGGCATGAGCGAACTTTGAGCAAGGGCCTTCCGGCAGCGAGCAGAATCGCTAGGGGAAGTGTGGAGACTTGTTCTTCTGTCAGAGTACGCGCTGGAGCTCCTAGGAGCGGCGCGGATCCCCCGGGATGGCGGTGGAGACGCTGTCGCACAAGGCAGGGAAGCAACTGAGAGAACAAGTCTGAGTTGCTCCCTGGTGCGATAGGCGACTATATAGTAGCTGAGTAATCCATCAGCAATATGAGGGATGGTCCAATGAGAGAGAGGGAGGCTCCTTGGGTGCCCGGCACGTGACCAGTGGAACGGCCTAGGAAGGCCGCGCAAGGTGCGGAGGCCCTAGGAGACCCAAAAGGATAGAAGAATGTATGGAGCTCCTAGGAGGCCCGAAAGAATAGAAGGAGTGTCTGGGAGCTCCTAGGAAACCTGAAAGGGTAAAAAGAGTGTGTGGGGAATGCGGGGAAACAGGGAAAGACGAGTACTGGAGGCGTGCCATGACATTCACATTGAATAATGCTTCATTATTTTCATGGGCATATTAAAAAACAGCTGACATCTGTTCTCTGTATTTCTAACCTTCGCCATTACTTTCAGCCCCTTTGTGGGAATCTTTGGTGGACCATTCTTCTATTCTGGTATCTATGATATCATCTCTGGATAGTTGCTCTTCTCGAAGCTCATCAATAAGAATATATTCTTTTACTCTAGCTTTGTATGGGAGAAGCTAGAATGGTGCCACAAGCAAGCACCGAGCGAAGCTCAGTGCGCCATCTTGGGCTCGAGGGAGGGATTTTGAAACTCCAACACGTGTCGCGCCTCTCTCCCTCAGACCCACTGGCAGCTAGGATACGGCAAGTAGTAGTATCAGCACCGACACACACTTGCAACCTGAGACATGCCTCCTTGTGCCCCTCGAGACAACCCCTTCAATAAGCCTCACTATCAATTCAACTGGGCAGCCTTGGTCGGTCTGGCAGATGCCAGAGGGAAACATCCACGAACTCAAGGTGTGGACAAAACAGGCCCTGCTCAATCGCAAGGACAAACTCATCAAGCACCTGTCCTTCACGGCCCTCTACAGGGACAGGGAGAAGAACGGACACCACCAGGGCATCATCCAAGACATGGAAGATGAAGATTCAGAATGGCACAGCCTGGCCAAACCCCAAGAACAGAGCCTTCCGTCCACATCAACGCACCCACATTCACAAACACTTAGTCAATGTTCAAGCTCACAAAGGCTTCAGACGCGCTCGGAGAGTAGAGGGAGGGAGTCACTTCGTTCAGCGCGGGCGAGGACAGAGTCGCAACCGCTTTCCCCCCCCCCCGGCCATCGTCAGGTGAGCGACACACCTCACTGAGTCTTTCAACACACCTTTCCTCTTGCTGGATGCAAACCCACCACCTTGCTCGTGTTCTTGCTACACGCTTCTACTTGCTTGCTATGGCCAGAGCCACATGTTCTTGCTTGCCTCTTCCTCGGCACATACCATGCTATCGATCCAACGGACTCACAGACAATCCCAGGGCATCGGAGTACCAACCGGGACTCCAGTCAGAGTCACCCAGCTGTTGTCTGTGGTGACTTGCCAGCTCTCTGGCGCTTATTTCACGTGGCTGTGGCCGCTTTAGCTTGTAGGCTGTGCTGACAGTTTTACTGGAGAGCCACAGACGAGTTGGGCACTTCATTCTGCTGACTGTCTGTGCTCTCCAGGTAGGATAGCCCTCTCCATGTATTTACTTCATTCTGCTCACTGTCTGTGCTCTCCAGCTCGTTCTCGAGTGTTGTCCAGCTGCTAGACGCCCTTAGACAACAGGTTATGAGCCCTGAGCCGCTCTGACTCACTCCTGACAGCTGGCACTTCAACCGTGTCATAGCACATCAACCACCGCTCTCCAGAGCGTCATTCCGCTGCAAGGCACTCCCTATATCGTCATCCCGCTCCCTGTAGCATCATCCCACTCCTCAGAGTGTCATTCTGCTGTCACCAGCCTCCCAGAGCGTCATACCGCTTCATTCCGCCCCCGAGAGCGTCATTCCGCTCCCCATCGCTCCACTTCGACACCTGAACCGTTCCCGCCGGTCCAGGACCTCTCCGTCGCTTCCCTTCGTCGTTCCAAGCCCCCACAAGCGCCGCCCATCGTCCTACGCCGTCTGCAGCACTCAGGACGCCGTTGCCATCGATTAGGAGCGATTTTCGACGATCTACATCGATAAGGCTCTCCCTGACTCGATTCTACGCTTTCCTCGTCGTCTATAGCCTCCCTGGTCGCCCTACACCGTCGCCTACTCGTCTACAGCCTCTACACCGCCGCCTATGTCCTCCAACACCTCCACCAGCACCCAGAAGGTCACCCCGCTGGGGGAGAACAACTACAACACCTGGATGCCCGAGATGAGGGCCTACCTCGCCGAGCAGAAGGTCTGGTTCATCGTCTCTGGCGAGGATTTGAGGCCCTCGGACGACGCTGGGGCCGTGGCATGGAGGGATAAGGCTGCGGCAGCAGCAGGAGCCATCTATAGGGCGCTGGAGCCGGGTCAGAGGGTGCATGTGGTGGGGATTGAGATGGATCCGGTGAAGATGTGGGCAAAGTTGGCCGAGGTCCACCTCCAGAAGGTGTCTGGTGCGCGTTTCAACGCCCTGGACGCCCTCCTCACCGTTAGAAAGGGTGCTGACGAGTCCCTCCCCTCCCTCATCGCTCGAGTCGACTCCCTGCACCAGGAACTCAAGGCCCTTCGTCCAGAACGCTACAGCATCGCCGACCTCGACGACGACCTCGCCGCCATGTCCATGCTCCACTCCCTCGGCCCAGAATACGCCGAGTTCACCTCCTCCCTCGTCCGCTTCAACCCCAGCCGTTCCAACGTCGTTCAGGCCTTCATCCGCGAACATAACCACCGCCTGCCGCGCGCCGGAGCTGCCGACAACGCCGCCTATCGCGCTCAGGCCGCTCCCAGCTCCTCCGCCGCCCAGGACGTCCTCTGCGACTTCTGCGGCTACAAGGGTCACTCGGAGGCCACCTGCCATCGCCGGAGCGCCGCCAGGGATGCCGCACGCAAGGAGATCGCTGAGCGCAAGTCAGGACGTCGCACGCCGCGCTCTCAGACGGCCAAGGCCGCCTCTAAGGCCCAGGACGCCCCCGGCTCTCCCCAGACCGCCGGACAGGCCGTCCACGTCGAGCTGGCTGGCAATGCAAGTGTCTCCTCGTCGTCTGAGCCCCTCCCCGCCGTCCTAGATGTCCCCAGCACTGACTGGACCGCCGATACAGGGGCCACTGCTCATATGACGCCTCACCGTCACTGGTTCATCTCCTACACGCCCTGCAACGTCCCCATTCGCCTCGCCGACTCCAAACTCATCTACGTCATCGGTGTCGGCTCCGTTCGCTTCCAGCCGGTGGTGGAGGGTCAGGAATCGCGTCTAGTGGAGTGGACCAGGGTGCTACACATCCCAGAGCTTCGCTCTAACCTCCTATCAGTCCTGTATCTCACTCAGCACAAATCCATTCGCGTTGTGATCACCAGGGGCCTTATGGCCTTCGTTCGAGGCACCACCACGCTGTTCACCGCATCTGTGAGCGATTCCAACGCCGCCATCGTCAACGGGCGCACCCTGCCGGCCCTGGAGCACGCCCAGCCTGCCAGCACCTGCGCCTTGGACCTCGAGCTCTGGCATCGACGCTTCGGGCACGTCAACGTCGACTATGTGCGCCGGATGCTGAAGGAGGACAGCGTCTCTGGCCTCAAGCTCGACTCGGACGCCGCTCCAGACACCATCTGTGAGCCTTGCATCTCCGGCAAGCTGCACCGGCCTCCTGTGCCTCTGAGGGCCTCCCGGCGTGCGTCAGAGGCCCTGGGTCTTGTTCACATGGACGTCCACGGCCCTATCCCTGTCCAGACGCCTGAAGGGTACCGATACTGGGTGATCTTCGTCGATGATGCCCACCGCTTCTGGGTGGTGGTGCTGCTCCGGCGCAAGAGCGACGCGTTCCAGGCCTTCCTGCGCTTCAAGGCCTTTGCTGAGCGGCTCACCGGATGCAAGATCAGTGCACTGCGTGACGACAAGGGCGGCGAGTTCATCTCAAAGGAGTGGGACGATCTCTGCACCTCCGAAGGCATCCGACGCGAGCACAGCGTCCGAAACGAGCCCCACCAGAACGGCGTTGCCGAACGCGCCAACCGGACTCTGGCCGAGGGCGCCACCGCTCTCCTGAGCGAGTCCAACCTGCCTCCATCGTTCTGGGGTCTCGCCGTCGCCGCCTACGTCCATGTGCACAACAGGACACCCTCTGCTGCCCTGCCCAAGGGCGCAACACCCTACTTCGGCTGGAACGGGATCAAGCCCTCTGTGGAACGCCTCCGGGTCTTCGGGTGCGTTGCCTACGTTAACATCCAGAAGGACAAGCGCCGCGGCCTCTCCTCCCACTCTGAGAAGTGCATCTTCGTCGGCTACGCGGAGGACTACAAGGCATGGCTGTTCTACAACCCAGACACCCGCAAGTGGATCATCTCTAACGCCGCCATCTTCGACGAGCGGTACTTCCCTGGAGCGCGTTCTACCGCCAGCTGGGACTCTGCTGCCTCCGACTTCCTCCTCCGTGCCCTGCCTTCGCTGCACGGCGCTCCTCGCTCTCCTCCTGACGCACCTGCGCCGGTTCCGGGGGGAGATATGGCACCACCACCGCTTCAGGATGCCCAGGACATCCCTGAACCGGGGGGAGATCTGGAACCGCCCCATGTGCCGCCTGTGTCTCCTGCCAGAGTCCAGACACCTCCGCCGTCTCCTCGTGCTTCGTCCTCGCCTCCCACTGGTTCTGCCTCGCCTGACGCCTCCCCATCACCTGTCCCTCGCTCTGCAGCGCCGTCACCGGACCCAGAGCGCTCTCCTACGCCTCCTGAACGCCCTCCGACTCCTCCTCTGGCCCTCAGACGTGAGCGCCGTGCACCCAAGCCCGTGCAGCCTTGGTGGATCGTCCCCTCTCGCTCTCCGGCCCCTCAGGCCTACCGGGAGCCCACTCCAGCCATCGAGAGCAGCGAGGACGAAGACGACACCTCCTCCAAGGATCCCCTGGCCGCTGCTGAGCCGGAAGACGCCATGCTGGTGCTAGCTGGCCTTGACACCGTCTATGCCGCTCCTTCGTCGCCGGACCACCTCTCCTTCCTTCAGAGCCTCGAGGCTGCCTTTCGGACCTGCGCACTGAAGGCTGAGGCACGGGGCAACGAGCCTAGGTCTTTCTGCGAGGCCATGAAGCGTCCTGACTCGGATCTCTGGTACAAGGCCGCCATGGAGGAGATCGAGGCCCACATCGCCAACGGTACTTGGGAGCTGGTCCAGCTGCCTCCCGGACGCAAGGCCATCGGTTCCCATTGGGTTTTCAAGGTCAAGCGCAAGGCCGACGGTTCTGTGGAGCGCTACAAGGCCCGCCTCGTCGCCAAGGGCTTCAGCCAGCGCCCTGGAGTCGACTTCGACGAAACCTTCGCTCCTACTGCCAAGTGGGCCGCTCTCCGCGCTATCCTGGCCATCTGCGCCCTCGAGGACTGGGAGGCCGACTCGGTGGACATCTCCAACGCCTTCCTCAACGGTGATCCGGTGGAGGAGGTCTACATGGACCAGCCCGACGGCTTTGAGCAGGGTAAGCCCGGCGTCGTCTGCCGGCTCCGCAAGTCTCTCTACGGCCTCAAGCAGGCTCCTCGCGTCTGGAACCAGAAACTCGACACCGCCCTGCAGGAGATGGGCTTCTCCCGGGTCCGCTGCGACAAGAGCATCTATGTCTGGGAGCGCGACGGTGTCAAGGTGATTGTGCCGGTGTTTGTGGATGATCTGACCATTGTCTCCAAGAGCAAGGAGGCCAAGGATGCGGTTATCGAGGAGCTCTCCCGGCGCTTCAAGCTTCGTTACCTGGGTCCGATCTCGCTCCTACTCGGCGTGCACATCACCCGGGACCGCCCCAACCGCACGATGACTCTGGATCAGCACCAGTACGTCCTCGACATCCTCAACACCTACGGATTCAGCACCTGCAGCCCGGTGAAGACTCCTATGGATCCCAACCTCCGCTTGTCGACCTCCATGGCTCCCAGCACTCCTGACGACGTCGCTTACATGCAGGACAAGCCCTACGTCAGCGCAGTGGGTTCCCTGCTCTACCTGGCGATCTGCACTCGGCCCGACATCTCCTATGCCGTCGGCGTTCTCTCTCGCTTCACCAGCAACCCTGGACCGGCCCACTGGAAGGCCGTGAAGCACCTCTTCCGCTACCTGCGGGGCACCCTCGACCTGCGCATCCGGTACGCTCCTGACGACTCCGGCGAGCTCTTCAGCTCGTTCTGTGATGCTGACCATGGCGGCAACCCGGACAACGGCCGCTCTACCTCTGGCTATATCCTCAAGGTCGGTACCGGCGCCGTGAGCTGGAGCTCGAAGCTTCAGACCGTCGTGGCTCTCTCCACCACTGAGGCCGAGTATGTGGCCGCCTGCTACGCCGGCAGGGAGGTCATCTGGCTCCGCAACCTCCTCACTGAGCTCGGCTTCGATGTCAGCTCCTCTTCTATGCTCCGCATCGACAACCAGTCGGCTCTCTCTGTGGCAAAGCACCCAGAACATCACGGGCGCATGAAGCACCTCGACCTCGCCTTCTACTGGCTTAGGGACGCCGTTGAGGCGAAGAAGATCTCTGTCAGCTACATCCCCACGGCGGAGATGCCTGCCGACTTGCTCACCAAGTCTCTGGATCGCTCGAAGGTGGAGGTTTGCAGGGGTTTGATGGGATTAGCTTGAGAGTTGCCTCGTCAGGGGGGAGTGTTGTCTGTGGTGACTTGCCAGCTCTCTGGCGCTTATTTCGCGTGGCTGTGGCCGCTTTAGCTTGTAGGCTGTGCTGACAGTTTTACTGGAGAGCCACAGACGAGTTGGGCACTTCATTCTGCTGACTGTCTGTGCTCTCCAGGTAGGATAGCCCTCTCCATGTATTTACTTCATTCTGCTCACTGTCTGTGCTCTCCAGCTCGTTCTCGAGTGTTGTCCAGCTGCTAGACGCCCTTAGACAACACCAGCCCTGAGTCGGATGAGCTGGAAGAGCCCGGTGACCAACTCGCCCACTGTGTGGGGCCGCGCAACACCCACGTCATTCTTTCACGGCACTTTGGGTGGTACCTCTTTGACAGGCACGTCATGCCGACAAGTTCCTGATAGCTTATGCTTCGCCTATCCCAGTATCATTGTGAGGCTGGCCAGCACGTATCACCGGGGTGGTAGCGGATGTCAATAACTATATCATTCCACAACAGATATGCAACATCTTTGAGAATGACCACAAGAGGCACGTACCCCTTCACCACCTCACAGATGCTGCCTGCATGGTCCAAGGCATTGATACAAATGCTAACCTGGCGAACCTCTGGCAGATCGAATCTGGAGGTTTGGTCCCAGTGCAGCAGCCGCTCTCACCAGAAGGTGAGATGCAACTCTTGTTCGCTGAGTGGCTCCAGGTGTGGCAACGCTACCTTCAGCTGTTCAACAAGTATCTCCTGCACAAATATGAGGACTGGTTCACCCACCATGAGAACATTTGCCTGCGCCACGGCGTCAGCAGTGAGAATGTCTGTCCCATCTGGCTTGCATATGACATCGAGATTTGAAGGTGCCGGCTCAACACCCCCATCGACCCACGTGAGCATCATTGAGCGATTTGTGACAATCTCTATATTGCCCACCTCGGGAGGAGGATACTCCAGCCACAGCCACAACAGGCCCAGCTTGTGCTGGCCAACCGCAGGCAGGAGCCTGCAGGAACACCGTCAGCCATGCAGAGATCGCGGAACCCATCCTTGACAAAACACTGAGTCTCCAACCAGAACACTTGTGTGGAGACGCTCATTCTGCGA